AGCTGGCGCTATTTGCGGACGATAGCACCTATTTCACCTCGTCCAGAAGAGCCCACATCGCCACTGCCAGGATGCAACGTCTGCTGGACCTGTTGCCACCATGGCTGGATGAGTGGAAGATGGCCGTCAACGTTGGTATGACGACCGCTCTGCTCACTCGCCGCTTCAGAAGATTTCCACTACCAATAACCCTCAGAGGCCATGAGATCGCGTACGAGAAGGCCGTGACCTACCTTGGGTGCCGGATTGACAGGACGCTGCGCATGACTGCGCACGTCAACTTCGTCGTTCGCAAAGCCCGATTTGTCCAGTCCTGGCATCCAAGCTGCCGATCAAGACTAAGATCAGGATCTACAAGACGTATTTAAGACCGATTACCACCTACGCTGCTCCGGCCTGGTACGCACTTCTGAGTGAACCTCTGAGGCGGCGACTGCCGGCCCAGCAGAACTAAGCATTAAGGACTATAGTCGGAGCAGGTCGCTACGTCCGGAAAGACGTTATAGCGGCCAACCTCAAAATAGAGAGCTTACAAGAATTTGTGGTTCGGCTGGCGCGCGGCATGTTTGACCGCGCCGACAACGGGTCACACGAACACATTAACGGCTTTTCGCCGTTAAGGTGTTTGTACACACGGCCCACGGACGGGCGACCTTATCCAAGAGAACTCCTCTCTACATAGATTAGAGAGTTGAGTAAAACCCACAATGCAGCAGACAGGCCAACATCGACTTCTCAAACAGACAACCTCCTTTTTTTATGGATTGACCGATAACGGAAAACCTATTTTTCCTACTCTATTAAGAACCAAGGAATCCATTAATGCCTAATTTCAGGCTTCCAGGACCAGCTCATAATTGTGAGCCGTGAAGAAAATCCGGGCAATGGGGCATACCCCGAGGCCCGAGACCTGCAGGGCCTACGAAGCCCTCGCAGAAGACAACACGGAGCTCGCAGTTCAACCATATACTACGGATCTTCATTCCAAGTAGTATATTGTGACCGATAACATCAGTTATTACGCACCTGTCAGCCGACGAACTCCGCCAAACGTCGAGGAGTTACTCCGTGAGGCGTCGAGACATCGCTGACCGCTCCTGGAATTGAGGCTTGCTGAGTATAGTGAAGACCAACGTCATCGCCGTAACCGCTTCGCGAAAATCAGCATCAACATTGAGCATCCTTCTTGTTCAAGAAGGATACTACAGTGTGAATACGCCCAACCTATCTGAGCTTCACACACCCCTCCCTGCTCGCGGGCGCCTCGCTGGGCCTCCCCCAGGGGTCTCACCCGATGTGATTGCACGCGCTGAGGGGAGTGAAGTGTGCGATTGTTCAAGGGCTGTGCACCAAAATCATCAAGCAACATGTCGGGAACCCCCAGGGGGAACCCCCCTCCCTCCCAAAGACCATCGGATAGGCGACCTGGGGTTTTGTACAGGCCTCTCATGGAGCGGAACCTCTTCGATCCCGAAAAAAATCCCGCATCATTCCCCCAGTCAGCCAAATTCCAAGAAGAATTGGGAGTCCACCGCTTAGCCCGTCGTTAGCCGGGCTGATCGGTCGTTAAGCCTCGAACTGGCAACAAAATCTCGCCTAGCGGTTAAAAGAGCGCCACCAGAAACAGAAATTGACGAACTTCAAGATGAGAAGAGACTCAAACAAGGGTCTCGCACGTCATCTTCAGACTCTGAATCTACGTCATCTGCGCCCTCACCAACACCAGAGAGGGAGTTAGAAATTCCAATAACTAGGCAGCCAACCGCCAAAATCGCCGTCTCTAACAAAATCCTCGACTGGCATCTCAACCGAGACGCAAGACATGGACACCGAACCCGTGCCGGGACCATCTACAGCGCCGGACACATATGCGCGCATAGCGGCCGCGCCCAGAACAACACGACCGCTATCAACACGTATAGCAGGACCACCACCACCACATACAGTAGGACCACCACCACCCACTGAGACGCCAATAGCGGCGAAATACCCTCCTATAATAGTGGAGTGCTTACCAAACTGGGCGAAGCACTTTAAAATATTACACCAAATCATCGGACACGCCCCGAATGCTCGCCCGTTTGGGAAGGGGGTTCGCTGCCGGCCCCAAACAGAGGACGAATATAGGAAAATACAGAAAAATCTCATCGAAAAAAGCGGAGAGGACGCCACCATTGCGTGGTATTGCTACGCGCCGCGCGAAGAGCAACCTACGAAGGTGGGGTTAAGAGGGCTCCCCGCCGACACAGACCCCCCCCCCCCGGGACATTCAGGATGCGCTCATCGAGATGGGATTTCCTGTCACTTTCGTGAGGGCGATCCCGCTCAAAAGGGGGAGGCGCGGGTGTCTTTTTCATGTAAAGCTCTACCACCTGTCCCCGGAAGAACTTAACCGACTTTACAAAATAAACGAGCTATTGTACATGCCGGGGATCACCATAGAGGGCTGGCAGGGCAGAATTGGCCCTGCACAATGTCATAGGTGCCAGGGATTCGGGCACGCCTCGGTGAATTGTCACCGCCCCTTCAGATGTGTTCGCTGCGCGGGTAACCACCCCGCATCTGAATGCCAAAAGCCGCGTGATGCACAGCCTAAGTGCGTTAACTGCACTAAGGCCCACGCAGCCAGCGACCGACGGTGCCCGGTGCTGCAGAGATAGAGAGGAAAAGGGGTATCAATCTGCAGCCACCGATGTCTCCGCAAGCAGCGAGAGTTACGCAGCACCAATATCAGCCACAACCAATATTCCAGCAACTGCGGCAATAACTCCGACAACAACAGCTTCAACTACAACACCAAGTGCCGCAGCCACAACAATGGCACGCAAACACTCCTGCACCGATGCCAACTACATTGATACGCAACAACAGGGGCAACACTAGCCTTCTAAAGAAGAGGAAGAGGAGGAAGAAAAAGAAGGCGTCTCTCGGGCACAAGAAGCAAAAGGGATACCGACCTCGCTCCCCCCCCCCCTCTTACTTCCACCGTACAACAACCGCGGCCACAAAATCAACCCCGAAATCAACCTCAACGCAGGACGGCAACATTCATTCCTCGCAGACAGGAGATTCTACGTCTGTGTAGAGGACACAGAGTCCGCAATAAGACCCATAAGAGCTGGTGTACCACAAGGCAGCTGTGTCTCCAGTCCTGTACGCGGCTTACACCAACGACATCCCACCCTGGCAGGAGGGCACCTGCGCGAATGGGAGGACGACGTAGAGCTGGAGCTATTTGCAGACGTAGCGCCTATTTCACCTCGTCCAGAAGAGCCCACATCGCCACTGCTAGGATGCAATGTCTCCTGGACCTGTTGCCACCATGGCTGGATGAGTGGAGGATGATCAACGTAGGTAAGACGACCGCTCTGCTCACTCGCCGCCTGAGAAACCTACTACCATCTTTAACGCTTAGAGGCCAGAAGATCGCGTACGAGAAGGCCGTGACCTATCCTGGGTGCCGGATTGACAGAACTCTGCGCATGACCGCGCACGTCGACTTCGTCATCCGCAAAGCCAGATGTGCGCGGGCGATGCTCCGGCCAGTCCTGGCATCCAAGTTACCGATCAAGACGAAGATCAAAATCTACAAGCTATACATAAGACCACTAATCACCTACCCTGCTCCGGCCTGGTACGCACTTCTGAGCGATCCTCTGAGACGGCGACTGCAGAAACTAGCACTACAAACCATTGTCGGAGCAGGTCGCTACGTCCGGAATGACATTATAGCGGCCAATCTGAATATTGAAACCATTCAAGAATGTGTGGGCCGGTTGGCGCTCGGCTTGTTCATTCGCGCAGACAACGGGTCCACACCTGAACAACTTTGCACCGCTACATACTCGGCCCCCGGACGGGCGACCTTATCCAAGAGAACACTACATAGATTAGAGTCGAGTAAATCCTACAATGCCTCAGGAAGGCCAACTTCGACCATAACAGCTAACCAACTTTTTCCGTAGCTCAACCGATTACGAAAACTTAACCGATTACGGATAATAACCGAACATTTTAACGACGCCTTTATGTAAGGCTCCCAGGACCGGCCCATACTAGTGGTCCGTGAGGATAATCCGGGCAATGGGGACCACCCCGAGGCCCAAGACCTGCAGGGCCCAAGCAGCTTATGCAGAAGACATCGTACGCTCGCAATTCGTCCGTTCTTTCTTCGATACCACCGGTTCAATCTCACCAGCTAAAGTTATCACATTTCTCAAGCCTTTCAAGAAAAACTGCTGTTTTATTACCAGTGTTGACCCTATAAGTTAGGGAAAGTGAAGTTATTATACAGTCCATAATTTTTGATGTCTAGACCGGAACCAAACCCAACGTAGTGTGGCTTAGGCAAGGGGATGGATCGACGAGTCGCCGAATTGATCCAGTGGCGTTGGTCCTTCGGAGTGAAGGATCAACGATTTAGAAACGCCACGATCCTGTTCAGTACTATATATATTAATATATGCAGACCATTTCCCTTACCCCAGAACATGAAAGTGGAACAAAAGTACTAACTAGCCTAACAAATTAACATTTCGTTAGTTCATAAATATTATAGTTAGCTTATATAGATGTTCGATTATGGAAATATAACATACATAAATATACTTTATATATATCTATAAAGTAGCAAGAACTTAAAATAATATGTAAGAAATAAAGTATGTTTCTCTTACCCAACAAGGCTTCAATTAAAATAAAAACGGCAGCTAAAATCAGTTAATTAAGTACTATAAAACACGCTCGCGCCAACCGCATGTATTGTATAGTCTGTTTTATGAAAGAAGTACCTTAGCCTTAAGAGTCTTTGCGAAGTCTGACATCTGGTGTGTGTCAAATTCCATACATAAAATTTTAGTTCGCACATTTTCCGTGGGACTTCTTTCATGAAACAGACTCTACAGTAGACTTAGTAAACCATCCCTATTTTTTTTAATATTTTATACAGAGGCTCAAGTTTGTTAAAGGTTTAATACAATTTTAAGTAAAAAAAGACTTAATTAAAATCTTCTAAATGTTTCGCTCTCCGAAGCATCCGATTCCGAAAAATCATCTTCCAAATACTCGGCTTGTTCGTCTTCTGCCGTTATAAGATTAGTAACAGCGCTGAAACAAAAATTAGTCTAAATAAAAAAATATTTTACAATTTTTATCCGATGAAAACAGTAAATGGTGGGGTTATGTTTTCAGGTGTATGGATGTGTAGGTTTGTATGCGTGTATGGATACATACACGCATACATACTTTACACACTTTCAACATATCTATGTTTTATGGCTTTATTACGTTCCTTTGTAACCCTAAACGGCTAAACGTCCATCCTCCAATGTCAATTGTCGCTTGCGAAATTACATATTTCGTATATTGACGTTCATACTGCCATTGCCTCAGAGAATAAGTGCAAGCATATTATCTACGTTATTACTCTAAGGAAAATGTCAAAAACTTAATGTTCTGTAGTCAAACAGTCGTACAGAGTAGGAATTGTCGCCAAATAATAATTATAAAATGTTGCCAATTAATATTACAGTAGACGTGAATTTTGTGTGATTTCAAACGTTCCATTTTCAATAGTGTGCATATGTGAAGGCAAGAAAGTATTTCATATATTAATGTGCAGTTGAAAGTGAAATACTGTAATTCATTAAATTTTCAGGTTTGTATATTAAATAAGTACTTAATATACAAACCTAAAAATTTTATAAATTACCTTTTTTTTTCATTAATGATGATTTTATATAAACTTCTCCAATAACACGTACATAGAAGTGTGTGTATATACAAGTACAACATATGATCTGATTATCAATTTTTTTCTTATGTTGGTATACATGCCCTGAAAGTGTGATAAAATTTTCAGCTGTATTCATTGTGAACTGAAATTGGGTTTCTAGTAGTGATAACAGGACGTAACCGCTTGTATGAGCCCAGGCGACACCGATTCTCAAACAAAATAAGGTTGGCAGCCATTCTATTGTATATTATAGTATTCTAGGGTAATTTAATTATTTTTTTATTTTATAGGAGGGGCAAACGAGCATACGGCTACCCTGATGGTAAGTGATTACCGCCACCCATGAACAACTGCAACATCAGGGGAATTGCAACGCACCTGTTGCCGGATTTTTACAAAGGAGTAAGCTCTTGCGTGGCGGCATGAAAGTGACCACGAAACTGCACGTCACTCGATATGTCGACGCCAAGGATTCCGATACTGGCGGAGGCAACAAGAGGAGTGCCTTGAAACTAAGGAGATACGACAAAGGCGTTCCATTTAGCGATAAACGCGCAAACTTGTGTCTTCTGAGGGTTAAACCGGACTAGATTTAGTCGCCCCCAAGCCGAGACTTTGATCAAATTCGGCTTCAGACACAAGTTTGTCCCGTTACTTGGTGACGTTTTCCAGAGAAATATTGGCACTGCCGGTGTATAGAGGATCACCAGTGCTGTAGACTGCATAGCAATGAATGTTACCCGTTTGCAACATATCATTGATATGCAGAAGAAACAGCGCTGGTATAATAGCACGCAGCCTTGTGAAATGCCGGCTTGTAATCGGAACATGCACCGTCTACAACGACATTGACGCTCCGATCTGCAAGAAAGCTGGTGATCCAATTGCACAGTTTTTCGGGAAGCCCATAGGTAGGGAACTTCAAAGAAGTGCTTTGTGCCAAACCTGATCGAAGGCCCTCGCAATGTCCAAACAAACGGTCATGCCTCCCCCTTGGACTCTAAGCCTCCGCCCATCTATAGTCAGGTAGACCAGAAGATCATCAGCTGATCGACCCCGACGAAAACCGTATTGGCGGTCACTAATTAGCTGGTGATCCTCAAGGTACCGCATGAGCTGGCAGTTTATAATGGGTTCCATTATTTTGGAAAACAAGGAGGTGATAGCGATAGGCCTGTAGTTAAAAGGATCAGAGCGGTCGGCTTTTTTAGAGATGGGGTGGACGACAGCCGTCTTTCATGATTTCGGGACTACGCTTAGGGAGTAGGAGTACCGAAAAAGACGCGTTAAAACCGGTGCCAACTCTGGAACACACGTCCTCAGCACAGTTGGTGGGATTTCGCCAGGCCCACTCGACTCTAGGATACCCAGAGAGAGGAATGCTTTGCGAACCGAGCGCTGTGTAAACCGCACATCTGGCATGGAGCACTCACACCGTGGGATGGTCAGCGGTGTGGTACCCCCGTCGTCGAGAGTCGAGTTGGACGCAAAGAAAGAGCCTAGTAGATCGGCTTTCTCCTTTGCGGCATATACCAGTGAGTCGTCCTCCCTGTGCATAGATGGAAGAGATGGCTGACAGAAATTCCCTTGGACAGCCTTGGCGGGAGATTAGAATGCACGGGTTCCAGAAGGAAGGCGAACTAGTTTCTCGCTAATTCTGCCTATGTACTCTGACTTTGCCTTGGCAATGACTCTTGTGAACTGGAGGCAGAATTATACTTCTTTTTTAGGGCGCTGGTGTTGACAACCCGGGACGTTGATGCATCAGCCGAGACCCGATAGCACTCCTGTTTATAGCATGATGCAATTTTACAGGAGCGACTAAGCCATGGCTATGATCTGCCTCCGATGGGCACCACAGAGGAAGGAATAAAAAGTTCCATACCCTGAAGTTCCATATCAGCGACAGAATTAGCAACAACGTTAGGATCGTCCGGCGAGAAGTAAACCCGCCCCCAATGGTAGGTAAGAAATACCGCATTATATCCCAATCAGCCGAGCTATAGTGCCAAACACGGCAGCAGCTTGCAGAATATAATCGCGATTTCAGCGTGAGTGGCACCACACTTCGGACTAGACAATGGTCCGAGGATCCAAGAGGGGCGTCGAGAGAGACTGATGATCCGGATAAGAGGTCAGTAGAAGGCCCAACAGGGAAGGTACATGATCCTCCACATCTGAAATCCGCGTAGGCGAAGTAACCAGTTGTGTCAGACCACATGCCAAGGCAAAATCATGAACAGATCTCCCCGCATGATTGGTTAAACGGGAACCGAGCTATTCAACGTGGTGGGGTTAAAATAGCCGAGGATCACGATCTCTGTGGATGGGGTCTGCTGTAGCAGGGAATCCGTAGCCATTTGGACGTGATCGATAAGTCGGTTTGTTTCGGCATTACCGCTACGGGACCTACAGAAGGTACCTCTGTAGGTCCCGTAGCGGTAATGCCGAAAGTAGACGCGCGGATGGTCGTCGCTGTCTACGCGTAGCCAAAGTATGAACAGGTTCGAAAATTCAAGACTGCCGAGGCGTCGAGAACAGATGCCCTCTCTGACGAATCTGTTATGAACGATGGCCGAATCACAATCAGAGAAGTCGCTGATGATGTTGGCATAGCGATTGGCTCATGCCATGATTTTTTTATCGAATGTTTTGGGTATGAAATGCGTGGCAGCAAAATTTGTTCCGAAATTGTTGAATTCGGAACAAAAACAGCGGTGAATGGAAGTTGCTCAGGAATCACTAAATGAAGTCAACGACGATTCAGAATTACTTAAACGTTGTAACAAGGGACGAAACATAGTTTTACAGCTATGACGTCGAAACTAAGGCTCAATCGTCCCAGTCCCAGTCAGGCGAACCAGAATGCCTCCTGTTTCGCCAAGACCGAAAAAGGCTCGGCAAGTGCGGTCGGACGTGAAGGTTATGCTGACTGTGTTCTTCGATGTTAATGGCTTAGTGTATCATGAATTCTTGCTACGAGTTCAAACGGTCAATATCGAGTACTATTTACAAGTTCAACGCCGTTAGTAGTTACGTTGTACCAGTTCTGGCTCAGTCAGAAGTGGTACAACGTTCGTCGACTCACGATCCAACAAAAAGAAAGGTTTTGGCATGCTCTGATCACGAATCTGCGGTCCGTTTTTGCGTAGGATGCACGGTTCCGGAGTCCGGAGATGGGCAGATCAATTAACCAATATCTAATTGATATCCGGTATGGGCCTCCACCGTCATTAGCGTCCCATTGTTCTTATCTATTGTCATTGTCTATTTTTCCTCGGCGTGTGCGTCGGCTTGTCAGTGCTATTGTATTATACTTCTTTGTTCCTAACTACAATCAATATATTGATTCATATGGACGATCACCTGTACGATATCATCTAGAATTTTTAAAAAGGAATTGTAAAAGATGGAACTGGAATGTTGATAGGATTCAGAATGAGTGGACTTCAGTTTGTGGCGAATATTGCTTAATGTATTTGCTATATAACTTTCAGGGATATTCAATGCATAGTTTTACGAGTATATTTACAGGGAACACATTGTACAACGATATTTTAATGGATGAGATGTTTCGCTCCTATTTTATAGATTATATTAGTAATAAGATTTTGTATTTTGTAAAAAAAATTGTAACAAAATTAGGTAATGTGTTTTATTGATGATTCAGATTAGCTTTGTAGTTGGGAACAAAGAAGTATAATACAATAGCACTGATAAGTCGACGCACACGCCGAGGAAGAATAGACAATGACAATAGATAAGAACAATGGGACTCTAATGACGGTGGAGGCCCTCACCGGATATCAATTAGATATTGGTTAATTGATCTGCACATATCCGGACTCCGGAACCGTGCATCCTACGCAAAAACGGACCGCAGATTCGTGATCAAAGCATAAGCAATCCGAAAAAAAAACGCCCGTTTTTGCACCACACACTTCACACTTCATAGCTTCGTTCGTCAGCTTTTGGCTAATAACAATACTGTAACGATGCTCTAGCCTCTATATTAACTAGACATGGATCCGTGTGACTTTTTTCTACTTCAAAACATAAAGAGAACCTTAAAAGGCCGTCGTTTTACAAGGATAGATGACATTAAAAGTACATCGCTGAAAGAGCTAAAGGCTATTCCAAAAGATCGAGTTTGAGAAGTGTTTCGAGGATTGGAAGAAGCGCCGGCACAAGTGCATAATATCAAATGGGGATTATTTTGAAGCTGACAATAGACAAATAATTTTTTTCAAAAAAAAAAAACACACCTCGTTATTACAATAAAATTATATGGGTACACTAGATCATAATGTCATAGTTTTTTGTAGTCAATTATGCATCTCCTTTTAAATTTTAAAATATATCAGTTGTATCAGAAAATTGTCTAATTTCTTACACTACTATCAATCAATGTAGCTACATTTATAGAAAAAAATAATCTTTTTAGTATTAATACTTACTTTATCACTTCCTCTTCAAATTTACTGTGATGTGTTGAATGCTCGACAGAGGTTATCTTAGAAGCCAGGACCAAGTCTAGTAATGATCTCAATTTGCAGAGGAGATCTGCTGTTTGTCTTGAGCATTTTACTTTCGTGGTCTTTATTGACAGGAAACATTCATCAGAATTATCTTCTTCCACTAAAAATAAAATTATAATAATATAAATATTATCTAAAATAACAGGGACACGATAGTGGAATTATATTTGAGTGATTTTAATATTTTATTGCATTATATGTTATTTAAATATAGGACTTTGGCCTAGAGCGAAAAACCATGAAGGTATGCTCTTAACTAAAATTTGTTTTATTTTTAATCTCCCGCTAAAATCTATGATTCACAAAAAATCGGGAAGTTATTGGTATCACCCCAGTTTTCGAAAATCGAGGTTTCATCAGATCTCGACTTTTTGAGGTCCTAAGAAGCAATTCTGCCTATTGTGCGTGCCCGCGCGCTTGTGTTTGTGTGTGTGTGTGTCTCTCTCTCTCTCTCTCTCTCTCTCTCTCTCTCTGTCTGTGTGTGTGTGTGTGTGTGTGTGTGTGTGTGTGTGTGTGTGTGTGTGTGTGTGTGTGTGTGTGTGTGTCTGCGTGTGTCTGCGTGCGTGCGTGCTTTTATAACTTTTGCAAGGCTTGAACAATGGAGAAGGTAACCATTTTTTGTTTTATATGTCAAAAACTCTACAAAAAATTACGAGAATAACTGTGTTTTTAATTTTTTTTCTATCTTCAAAACTGACCGAGATATAAAGGCGCAAAGTTAACATTTTAGGCTAAGCCACGGACCGAGAGCGACATCGTTGATGACGTCACGATTTCCATCTTCGTGAGAGCGACCCGACGCGCACTTTGAAAATCAAAACATTTACTTAAAAATGTGTCACCATCTATTAAATATTGTGCTGTGCCTCCATGTAAAAATACGGCCACAAAAACACCTGGAAAATTGTTTTTTAATGTGCCTAGAAACCCTACCATCAGAAAAAAGTGGACAAGTGCTATGAGAAGAGCACGTCCTTTAGGACCAAACACGGTAGCATATTGTGAGGATCATTTGGATGTAAGTATTCAAATAATAATAACCTTCACATGATAGCTTTTGGTTATTGTTAGTAAATGCTTTCTGTTAGGCATGTAGCACGGTAATTTTATCTATTTGGGTAAAGTACTTACCTATGTAATGTAGACAAGTCAACGACCTGTCGTAAGTTCGTAAGTTTAGATATCTACCTATGTTTGCAGCAAATTTTAAAATGTTTGTAATGCATAGGTTAAAATATGGAACATGTTAACAAACGTTTTTATATTTTTTAAACTAAACTAAACACATCGCAGAGCTGTTCAACCTGCATATTTTGCGGACCGCAAATAGTGGAAGAAGTTTGATTATGAAGTGGAGCACTTAATTTTTTTTTCGTGTTGTCCTATTTTTATGTATTACATAGTTGGTACATATTTTAAATATTGATGGAATAGAAATTACGAGGTTACTTTTTTTATAGACTAAATAAGTTTGTATTTTGTTCTAGGTCGAAAACGATATGGATAACTACATGAAGTACAAACTAGTTGGTGGTCTCCTCAAACTAAAAAAAGATCCCCACAAAAGAGTTTAAATACACCAAGAATCAAACAATTCAAATCATTGCTAAACCGTCGACTCACAACGCATAAACATTTGCTAAACGCTTTGCATACGCTTAAACCAAAATATCAAAGAGCATTACTTAAAACGTGTGATGAAGAAGAAATTAACTGTATTTGTGAGTGTATTCATAACGTTTTACAAGGAAAAGTACCTCTTAAAGATCAAGATAAACAAAAATTGAATAAACACAAAAATATACTCCGTCAACTAGTGCGTAAGTGTAAACATAAACTAAGAAAAAATATAATTATACAAAAAGGAGGGGCTTTCTTACCAATAATATTAGGTGCAATATTGAGTGGATTAGTGAGTGGACTAGCCAGTTAACATGGAAAATGCAAAGAAAATGATACTTATCGAACCTGGATTAATTGAAAAATTAAAACAAGAAAATAAGGTTAATACGAGTAGTATTTTATCTCGATTAGATATTGAAATGCAAAATATTATGAATAGTAAGATGGAAGACCGAAAGAAATGGATGTTATATTTACAAACACTGCAAAGATACCTTCATTTTACCGAAGAGGATCGTCAACCACTCAGATTACCAATTTATTCTGATACATCTAATGAAGATTCAAACGAGTCTAAAATTGGTTTTAAAAATAAAGATAGAGATTTAAAAACTTCAGTTTATGCTGAATCTTTGTTGGAGGAGAATCGATCCATCAAAAGTAAAGAAAATGTTGAAAATCCACTTTACACACCAGCTCAAATACTCAGTTTAATACCAAAAACTTATAATAAAAAAGGACAGTTATTATTAAACTTAGTTGAAACAAGTAAAGGTAAAATACATTGGGATAATGAAGGTACAGTCATAATTGATAATGAAAAAATTCCTGGAAGTAATATTGTTGATTTAATAAATGATTCACTAAGACCCTTAAAAAGAAGTGATCCAGTAGGGTGGGATAGATTTGCTGAAGCATTAAAAGATATTAAAGTACCACTTACTTATATTGGAAATCCAAAGAGATGTGAGTTTATTAACCAACTTCAAGCAAAAGATCTGAACAAACCCTCTGAGATTGAATTTCAAGAGTTTTCTACACCGAGCAGTAGAGATAAAAAGTCTACAACTAAAATACGTAAAAGGCTTGAGTGGGAAAAATGGACCCCGTACTAGAAGAAATTAACAGGATTTATTATGATCCATCTAATCCCGCTGGTTTTGGTAGTATTGATAAATTGTCAAAAGCCATGAAGGGTAAAATGAATAAAAAGCAAGTAAAGGAATGGTTAAAATCACAAGAAACATACACATTACATAAACCCATTCGAAAAAAATTCCCGCGTAATAGGTACATTCTATCAAATATTAATGAACTGTGGCAAGCTGATTTAAGTGATATGCGAACTTATTCTCAATATAATGATGGTTTCAAGTATATACTTTGTGTTATTGATGTATTTAGTAAATATGCTTTTGCAAGACCAATGAAAAAGAAAAACTCAGAAACAACTAAAGAATGTTTTGAAAGTATATTTACTGAAAGTAATTTAACACCTACTCACGTACAATCTGATAAAGGTACAGAATTTGTTTCAAAAGATGTACAAAAATACTTTAAATCCAAAAAAGATTAATTACTATACCACTAACAATCCTGACATTAAGGCCAGTATTGTTGAACGATTTCAAAGAACACTAAAAATGAAAATGTGGCGTTATTTCACTCATAATAATACTTATAGATATATAGATGTTTTACAAGATTTAATATACTCTTACAATCACAGCTTTCACTCTAGTATTAAGATGTGCCCATGTGATGTAAATTCCAACAATATTATGACAGTTTGGACTAATCTTTATGAAAGACGGTCAAACAAACTTTCTTTAGAAAATCCTAAACCAAATTTCAATGTGGGTGATTATGTTCGAATAACTAAATATAAACATGCTTTCCAAAAAGGATATGAATCAAATTGGAGTGATGAAATATTTATTATATCTTCAATAATTGATAGATCTCCATGGTTTGTTTATACAATAACAGATTTACAAAATGAACCAATAGTTGGTACTTTTTATGAAAGAGAATTACAGAAAATCACTTACAACCCCACCTCACAATATAAAATAGATAAAATAATTGACACTCGTTACTCAGGTAACAGAAAAGAAGTATTAGTGAAGTGGAAAGGTTATCCAGATAAATTTAACAGTTGGATTTTAGCTTCTAGTTTAAAAGAAATATGAATAAAGAAAGTTTTTATTTAACTTTGCTCAGCAATAGTTCAATGGAATACTTTCCTGATAACAAGACCACAAATTGTTCAGCGAAATTACCAAAAGCTATTAAATTAGAAGGTGAATGGTCGGTTGGAGTTGTCGAGTTTCAATATCCATGTACCATGTTTACTGTTCAAGATCATGAAAATGTTATATACATTACAAAATCTATGTTAATGCCTAATGAAGATAAACCATCCACAGTGTACTACAAAAAACATATTCCAGCTACCAACTATGATAACGTTGAGCATATTTTAAGAGTGTTAAATGGTATCGGAGAGAACTTGAAATTTCGCTATGATGAAATAACAAAATTTGTGTCTATTTCTGTTTTGGATAAAAATATAACTTCCGTAACATTATCACCCAAATTAAGTTTACAACTAGGTTATGAACCAAATAAAAATCTCCTAGAGAGAAGTTTTGGAAAGTGTCCTGCTAATTTACACTTAGGGTTACCATCTCAACTCTTTATATATTGCGACATTATCGATCCTCAGATTGTGGGTGATGTTATGACTCCTTTACTAAGTCATTTCATTAGATCCTACAAAATACATTTATGGTGCAAATAAAATGCACGTTTTCTCTCAACCTCACTACTTACCTGTTATGCGAAGAGAGTTCGATACGCTGGAAATAGTTATAAGATCGAGCACAGGACAAAAAATACCATTCCAGTTTGGAACCGTGTGTATTAAACTACATTTCCGAAAATTATAATAATGAATTCTCTTCGTGATCATCATAAATGTCCATATGAAAATTATTATACACATCAAGCTGGGTCAGGAGTTGGAGTAATTTATAAGGGTGCACCATACCAACGCGGTCATGGTATTGGGAGCTTCTTAGGGGGGGTTATTTAGATCAGTTTTACCTTTACTTTCAAGTGGTGCTCGAGTGATTGGTAAGGAGGCATTAAGCGCTGGAGTAGGACTTTTATCGGATATAGTTCAAGCGCGTCCTATGGAAGCCTCAATAAAAGATCGTCTAAAGCAAGTTAGTACGAATTTAAAACGAAAGGCTGATGAGAAAATTGATCAATTTAACATGACAGGATCTGGGTATAAAACTAAAAGAAAACGATTGACCTCGTTCATTCCACCATTAACTGCTAAAGTGAAAGCTGCGAAAAAACTTGGTCTAAAGCCAAAAAATAACAAAGATATATTTTCAAATTAAATATGTCTTTCCTTCATAATCATTCTTGCGAGTGCGTTAAGTCAGAATTGGATTTGTTTGCACT